CCTCTGTGCGTTGTTGCACGTCCACGCCGAACCCTGAAGTGCTCTGTTACAATAGGGAAGGAATAGGGAAAGGTTTAAGGCCTTTAGCACAAAGGTATAAAGAACGTGTTCTTCCTCAGATTTATCATCATCTACGCGATATTGAACGTTTACGTAGCTTTATGTGAAGTATCCTTATGGAGGATGATGCATCAATCTACATAGCGAAGCTTACTCAGGGCTATCATCTCTATTATGGTGTTATTCATATAGTTTAAAGTTGGCATTCACCAGATTTGAATCCGATTGCGAATGTCTGGCGCCCTTGAAAGTATCGTACAGGCAAGTGGTTTCTAAAGACTAATAAGGCAGTACACTAATATCTACTGGAAGAATGGGAGAAGCTGACGGCTCGAGACTGCATGAAGTATATAGAGTGTGCTGTCTGCCTGAGCGCTATAGAGCCGTTCTCGCAGCGCAAGGCAGCCACGCAAAGTGGTAGAATCGAACGCATCGAGGGCGACCGGGAGACACGTGCAGGACAGAGCGGTGCGCCGGACAGAGAGAACATCGCCTAATCAGGAGGGTAGCAGCCCGTTCAAACACCCCTTTGTAGAGGAGGAGATAGGGTCCCCAGATGTCCGCACATCCACGGAAGCACCATCGCCATTACCATCACCACCAATCGACACCGGCACCGACATTGCCATTTGGTAAGGAACATTGAATACGCATATCTTCGTAGGAGGAAGGGACAAAAAGGGAACCTATGATACTTGGAGTCGAAGTATATGCACGATCCAGTCCTCCAGCGCCGCAGTACCGTCTCTCTCTTTTATGTTTTTCAGTCACACGAACAAACAAGCCCGGCTCGCCTGTACCAAGTCCCTCCCGGCCCGTCATATTTACAAATCTTCTGCGGTCTTTGCGACCACCAAAGCGATCTTGCCGGTTCATTCACAATCAATCCATCGTAATTCCTTTCTAAACCGTGATTTGGTCCCGGGCGCTCATCAGATTTGAGTCAGCGCCGTGACAGTCTCACGACCAATGAAAATCCATCTCGCGTCTGCCACCTCATCCCTCTCGACTTGACTCAAGGACTCCTCCCAAATCTCCGGTCAAAGTCCCTCAGTACAGCCATGACGTTCGCCGCATCAATCTCCAATGCTGGCCTCCCGGCAATGGCCGGGTTAGTAGGCTCGCAGGCATGTAGTTTGGGCATCCACTCGCCAATGTCGCCCGCGGCGCGCTCGTAGGCTGGATGTCGGGAGAGGGTAGTGTAGACGTCCGCACAGGTTAGTGTTACTCCGGCCTTGGGCCCGTTTATTGAGCTTTGCTGGGCCAAGGTTTGATGGGACAGTACGGCTGCCGCTTGGGAGCGAGTCGTGCGGCTCCTTCTGGGAAGGGGCACGGCATCGTTCTCGGTACCCGACCGGCAGCATGTTCCGCCGCGAGTTTGGCCGCCGCAGCATCCCGAGGAAGACGTGTTCGCGGGCTGCGATTGAGCACGAGAAGCCGCGAGAGATTTGCAGAAAAGCGTGCTGTTTGGGTCGGCGCGGCACTGAGCACACGTTCCCGGCCCCGAAGCTCCACACCCTGCAGGGGCAGCAACTACGGGCGGCACGGACATGGAGACATCGCCTTCAGACGGAGGTGGTGTAAATTGGTCGAGTTGTCTGGGCGGCAGATTCATCGGCACTGGTGCTGCCGCCGACCTGCTGCCTGCCGCGGGTTGCACTTGTTCCTGCTCAGCTGCGACCTCGGCGCAGATGCACGGTGTGCCGTCAGAGCAGAAGCCGCACGGGTCTGCCACCACGGCGGAAGGAGAGTGATCCTCGAGGTGAGGACGGTCTGGGAGCGCGTTGGAGGCGGCCACCGCCGTGAAGTCAATCTCCAAGCTCTCCTGGGGTTCAATCTTCACCCTCTTCTCTCCGCCAGCGCCCTGGGAAGGAGAGAGCGGGCGTTTCTCACGATGACTGACATCACGGGCCTCGACTCCTTCGCCACCCATTTCGGCGAAGGCGTCATCTATACATTGGCAGCGGGTTTCTAACGTGCAGTTTCCACAACCAATTGAGGTATCGTTTGTTGCGTTGTCGGTAGGACCGAGAGCCTTGTGCTGGTGGGATGAACTTGGCGGTGATTGAGAGGAGGTAGATCTGAGAGCAGTCAGCTCACTCTCGAGCCTCCTGCATCGATCGACCCAATGTGCCAGGTCGGTCCGATAGCGCCCGAGCTCTTTTTCAAGTTTATCCACCGTCGCTCTCAGCACGTCTTGTTCATGTTCATGCTCTTCTTCGATTTGTTTGAGTTGTTCTTCGAGTTCACCTACCCGCGCGGCGCGCCTCTCGCGAAAGGCCCGTTGGGCAGCACGATTCTGCGCCTTGCGCTTGGTGGGAGGTGTGTCTGTTGCAGGCTTCCGGCCTGGCTTGGGCCGAGGAGGAACGATCCATTCTTTGCTTGTGAGAGACATTGGCGCCGAGGTCGATGACGACGGCGGGGACGCGGCGGGCGGGGTCTGGGCTGGTTTCATACACAGCGAGGGCGGTCGCGCTATGGCGACCTTGACGTCGACGGGAGTGGTGCTCGCCGTCGCCGACGCTGGGGGAGAAGCGGCGCCGGAGGCCATGGCTCGTGAACAGAGAACAATCCGCCCTTAAGCCGAGAAAGCCCGCTCAGAGCTGGTCATTGGATGTTTGTGCACAATCAATTGCTGACGGCGTGAAGGATGTCGTGGGCCTTGGACGCCGGGGATATTGGCTGGCGTCGAGGGTTTGGATGGCTTTCGTCTCGAGGTCGCAGCAGGGCGAGCAAATGGTTCGACCAACTCAGACGAGAGAGAAGTCGGGTCGAGAGGAAAGTCGAGGGTCGAGATTCGGGGGTCGAATTTCATCAGATTAGATGCGACCGATAGTCGGCCTTGGCACTGTGCGGGGCAGAACAAAAACATCAGGCCACCGGATGAGGAGGTCGTGTCACGTTGGTCATGACAGTGAATGTAGCGATCGTGTATATTGTTACATGGCCGTTATTCAAGAGCCCCGCCCCCCGATATCGTGACGGAGAGGAGGATGGGTATCTCATATAACGCCTTCGACGCCGTGCTACCCAGCACCAGGCCCAACATTCCCAAACACATCCTTCGGTAACCTCAGGTATCAAAACTTGCCGCCGTGGACACCAGCTTCGGCCGCTGCAGACTCGCTGCCGCTTTGGAGGCCTCCCACGAATGATGTCCCCCAGACCCCAATCAACCCCCAGAAGCCAACCCGCCAGCCGCGGTACAGCCCTTCAATGCCCTGGCCCTTCCTTTTCCGCCTGGGGGCTTTGCCCATCAATGCCGCGGTTTTGTCTTTTCGCGTCTCAGAGTAACCTTCTTCCCGGGTAATGCTCCAGAAAGTCGGGAGAATGCCTCTGTAGGACGGTGGCACCGGCACAATGGTCGTGATAGCCTTGCGTTTCGAGGAGGAAGAAGGGGGCGCATAAGCGGGGGATGTCCAAGTAGCAATCTGCGCTCGGCGGAGGACCGTCTCTAGAGGGAACTTGACGGACAGATCCAGTGCCGACCCCACAAATGTTGCAAGACTCCAAGTCGCGGGATGCACGGCGGGATCCAGCCCGAGATAGGTCTTGAGGAATACTGGAGTGCTCGTGGAGATGAATGTCGGTAGAGTCGCGGTGAAGAAGGTGATGGGGATCAGGTGGCTGGGGATTAGGTATGGAGTTGGCAATGTCCGGAGAGTTCCGAGCAGGGTCCGTGGTTCTTGACTGGCAGGTGTGAGGATGAGTCTGGTTCGCGCGGCGTCGACGGGTGCGAGGACAAGCGCAGACATTGCTGCCGCCGCGGTGCTGATCATGATGGTGGCTACTGGAGCGGTCGAGTGGAGAATAGATACGTCCGAAAGTGCTCCCGGTGCCGACGTAGCGAGAATGTCATTCTCTGCCACCCCGAAAACCGCCGCCAGGAAGCTTCGGAAGAAGGTCTCCAACGTCCGTGTCAGGATGTTATATACGAATGTAGAATTTGTGGCCCGCCACATCGCCAACGCCCCGCCACTCGACGACAGCGAGGAGAGGGCATCAAGAAGAGAGTGAGGGTTCTTGAGGTGTAATTGCACATCGGGCTGTTGAGGGCGCCCCGGCATTCGTGAGGATGCAGTCTCTCGAGGTGGCCTTCCACGCCGCCCACGAGCGGGTGAGCGAGTCGATCTCGATGGCTCAAAGGGCGCAGTCGCCGTGAAATAATTCGGTTCGTCGTCTGATGAATGATCGTAGTCATAGTCCTCATGTCCATACGCGCCCCCCTCCTCTGCTTCACCATATGCATACCTCTGGCGCGGCCTTTTGTCTTCCCCCTCCTCTTCATCATCCTGGGCAACGCGTGTCTGCAGAATGAGCTTTGCAACCTCGAAGGGCTGCGCAAGCACGACATTTGCATATTTCCATAACGCACGATCAACTATTGATTTGACTGATCCTGGCAGAGATGGCGAATTATCAGAAATGTACTCGGAGTAGTCGATGTCGGGAAACGCGAAACTCGGTCCTTGAGTGCTAGGTTTCGAGCCACCCAAGGTAGCGTTTGGCAGTGGCTCGGTTCCAATGGATGGAGGGACGTAGTATGGCCGGAGAGGATTGGGAACGTGTCTCGAATCCTGCATGGCGAGAGGCTCTGAAAGCGACGCAGGTCGCTGGAGTGCGGCTGTCTCTGTGCTGTGACAGTCAAGACAGTGCACATAAGGTGATCAAATGGTGTTCAACCCATGCAAACGGCGGCGACGTAATTTACCGGGAAAATCGTACGGTGCAGCAAGAACCGGACAGAGTGTAGTTCAACGTCATTTGAAACCTTCCTTTTCTCCCTCTGAGAAGGCTGAGCAAGGCTGAGGCGAACATGGAGCGGATGCCAAAGGATTACTCGCTACAGGAGTCATTCAAGTCAGGGAAATAGCAAAAAATAGTCCCATATGGCTCCCATAGTCGCAATTTGCCATTGCTATCACCATACGATCGAAGATTCAAACGCTGCTCACGACGGTCGAGTCCGAGTCCATGGCATTCATTTCTGGACGACCCTCATCCCGGCCGCGTCCTCTGATGTTGGGGTGCACAGCTCGCTCTATCTCCATGTCTGCCCTCTCTACATCTCTGTCGCTAGGTTCGCCCTCCTGCTTCTTGTCACCACCACCTTGATTGGGAAAAAGCGCATTATCAATGGCAAAGCTGCTCCGTGCTCGAATCCGCGCCCCCCACAACCAGAAGCATATGGGAACCGGGGCGAGGAGCGTGGCAATGCAGCCCAGTAGTGTGTTTGCCCACTGTACACCGAGGTTGTGGAACATTTGTTTTGCGAACATAGGAAAGCCGGCGGCGAGGGCCGAACGTGAGATGGTTGCTATGGCAAAGGCGGATGCAGAACTGCGACAGGGCATAGTTAACTTGGTTCGAGACAGGGATGGCAAGTACTAACTTGGTTCTGTATACGTCGAGGATGAAATTGAAACCTGCAAGCGTCCGTCAGTATCAACCCACATTGACAGAATTTAACGGCAGTTCCTCTCCCACGCACAAAAACCATCTCTGAATATGAACGACAACTTACATCCGATGAATATGGTAAGGAGCCCATAACCAGTCGCAACTCCACTGGCACTCGGCACAATCCAATGTATGTACCTAGGGTACGCTGCGGTCCAGGCGAACCAAAACAGACCCACAGGGAAGGCCACCGCACCAGTAAGGCAAATAGACATCCGCCACTCAGGAGCCATGATGCCATTGTTTGACTTGACCCAGCGGGTATAATATCTCTCTCGAGCCATATGCACAATGACCGAAAGCGCCAGGCCCCCAATGACGCCGAAGAATGGCAGCCCGCCAATCCCATGAGACATATGATATCCTTCGACGAAGACAATCCCGTAGGAAACCAAGAACGTGTAGATCAAAGCATAGACAAAGGCGACATAGATGCAGATAAAGAGCAAATTCGGTTCCTTGCTCACCATAATGAAGGGTCTCTGGAACAGATATTTGAGCATCTGCCGCGATGTGTGATGCCGTTCTTCGATTTTGGCATGAATCGCCCATTCCCCGGTCTCGGCACGCAGTCGTACCACTTTTTGCTTCAAAAGGTACGGAGCGTAGGATTCAGACGCGAGAAACACCACCCCCAAGAGGACCCCTACACCCATGAAGACCGTCCACCACGCGCACCAGCGCCAGCCGAGTGATTGGTTATCCACCGTGAATCCTGCCAATGGTGAGGCCAGCATTGGGGCACCGAACACAGCGCTCAGGAATGCGATGGACGCATACCCTAGACGATCGCCTTGCCAGAAGTCTGCGTAAGACGACAGGGGCAGCATGAGGGCACAGGCTCCCATGACACCTTGGAAGAAGCGACAGAGCGCTAACGTCTGGAAATCCTTTGCAGTCGCCGAACCGGCTCCGAAGCAAATGAAGCCGAACGACGAAATGATTGTGGGGATTTTGCGGCCATAACTGTCTGACATCGGCGCCCAGACGAAAGGACCTTGAGGGTCATGTTACAGTCAGCGTAGTCGCGAAACTTGAAAGGGACTTTCGGTTGACTCTGGTGAGGACTAGAGGCAATGTGCCTACTCAAATTTCCCAACAAAGCATAATTTAATGTATTATGACAGAGCACAGGTACAAATACAAACTCACCTGTGGTATAGCCCATCAGAAAAAGAGTGGAGGTACAAAGTGTCGCGACTTCATCCGAGACCTGGAAGTGAAGAGACAACTGCGACACGGCCGGAGAGAGAATACCTGATGCCATAGAGGAGCTGAAGCAAGCAAAGCCATAGAAAAAGGCAGTAGCGATCCTAACGTCAATAAGCAGGCTGCTGGGCAAAGCGAATCTAGGATCAGGAATGTTTACTTTTTGTTCGTCGGCCAATTATAAGGCAAGTAAGGGTCGTCCGGTCCATCAAAGTTCACAAGAAATGTATCTCCTGTTTTGGTCCGCTGCTTCGTGATCCCAGGCATTCGAGAGAGTCTTTCTGGAAACGAATTTCCTGAATCATTCTGACCCTGGACGACGGTTTGATTCATGGGAGACGTCTCAAATGCGACCATCCTCTGTCCAGACGATCATGCTCAACACAACCTGAATAGAGGGTGCGGAAAAAGCAGAAAGCCTCTGGGGACAAGCAATGAATATTGCACGATCTGCGTTGCCGCATAATATAGTAACGGGTCCGGACCTGAATCTCGGCGGACTGATCACATAGTTCGAGCCATTCTTCAATATCTTAGTCTTAAAAGTCCCGACTAAAGGTTGATCTTTCCCAGAGACGGCTAACGTTTTGCACGCCCCCGCGGGACCGAGGCAGTTTCATTAGAAGCTACGATTCTGTTCTTTTTGCTGATCGTGATAACGTAGCTTGAGCAGACGATTCTAGAGAATGGCCAAATGGATCTGGCGAAAGCCGAAGGCTCGAGGCTATCCGGCGGAAGCGTACGCAGGCGACAGGTGGAAATAGCCATGTTCAGCAAATATTGGCTAGAAGTAAGGAAAACTAATCTGCTTGTGAATGTTAATCATAGACCGTAATACACATGGCGAAAGGAGACTCAGGGAGCTGCTCTCTTTGGTTAGCTCGAGCCACAGGGAAGGAGTTCCAGTCCTGACGTGGTTAGCTACCAGTAAGCAACCCCGTGGTGGCAGATTAATCATCGGTGCTTGTTAGGCACACCCTTCCACAATAGCACAGAGGGAGGAAGCAAGCGTCGCTGTTTCCATAGTGGTCAAACGGAATTCTCTCGGAAAATTCAGTTGAAGCCACCATTGGTATAGATATTGTCATCACCCTTCACGGCGGCAAATATGCAGTTGATCTGGTAATATAGAACCATAGAAGGTTCATCATGTTGAATAGCTCCGGAGAATGACATCAAACATATCACTATGTATGTTTAAGGAACGCGGCATCCCCCGTTGCAGTCGATTTCATAGTCGCAGGTGTAGTCATCACATGAACGACTTCTGGGAGATCACTCCAGTTACCTACAGATACACAAACGGTAGCAGAGATTTCGTGATGGCAAATATAATGGACAGAGAGAGTTGATCGGTGTTGCAATAAAGCTAACGCAGTATGTACAGGAATAAGTAACCTGGAATCGTTGTATTTGTACGGAGTACGGAGTATATAACATGGACGAGTACTGGGTATATCCTCCATCTCAGGGACTCAGCCTTACCATAAGGGCACGTGAGGCCGCCCCCTTTTCCTCGCTTACGGCCCGGCAAATCTCTCAATTTTCTCCAAAACAACGGCGTCTTCTTCGAAACAATATGCATTGTTGTGGCTTTGCTTAATCCTCGAAAACTTCTACACCACATTCTTGGGTTCACACCATCATGATGGATAAACCGTCCGGTGCTTTTGCATATTTTAATTGGTAGTTTCTGTAAGCAAAGTTCCAACATTCTAAGCCCTTATGGTCTTTATTTTTCCATGAATGATCTATTGCGTAACGATATTCACCCCTTGCAGTGGGCTTGGAGCCGGTGTTTCATTGCGACTCGATACGGTCCACCGCAAGGCACCCTGGTGTAGAAGTGAGATCCGAGATGGAGGTATCTTGCCTTTGCTGCCGCCGACACACCACTCGTTTCTAAGCCCGAGGAGAGAATCTTTGGCCAAACATCGATAATTGAGGAACGTGTTACAGAATCTCACATGTTCCAACATTCCTCTGTACGACAGTTCAATTTACAGCTTCAAGTCAGCAAGGCACGACCATTCTCCACTGTGGCTGTCTAATATGCGACTTTTCAATTTCAAGGTAGCAGTTGGACATGGATCATACCTTTCAGCAAGTTGCCTTGCCTGCGGATACCAATGTCAAGAGAAGTTATATGGAAGAAACAATGCCAGCCTCGAATCGAGCTTCGGCATTTGTTTTCCCTGTTTTGTTTCGATTCAATCAGAGCCGGACTCGCGTCAAAGTTCCTGACTTAGTCACTCCTTTTTCCAGGATCCGTGTTTCTGATGTTGTTCCTTCCCTTAACGTGTCTGGCATTCATTGGTTTTGCATCACCTATTCTAGCTCAGTCGGTCTTTGCTCATGTCATAGTCAGTTGTCTTCTCCAAACATTGATTGTACCCAACTGATGATGTCAGGTGGGAAACACCTATAGCTACACCCAAGCTAGCTGGGCAAGCGACATTGCGGCCGCAATCGCCGCCGGCATCGACGGATTCGCACTCAACATTGCCTATGCCGATACAGTCAATTCAAATGGATACGTTCAAGCTCAGCTCGACAACGCATATCTGGCCGCCGACGCCGCTGGCTTTCAGATGTTCCTGTCGTTTGACTACCTAGCCCAGGGTGCCTGGGATCAGAATGCGGTGATCACGACGGTCAATGGTTACGGCCCGCGCTCTAGTCAGTTCAAATGGCAGGGCAAGCCGTTAGTCTCGACCTTTGAGGGTGCAGATAATGCAGGCGACTGGGCTTATATCAAATCCCAAACCAACTGCTTCTTCGTTCCAGACTTTTCGAGCCAGGGTGCAGATGGTGCCGCCGGCAAACCCAATGTGGATGGTCTTCTTTCGTAAGTCCACACAACCGTCGTCAATCAGTAATGTGGGAGGGCGCCGTGATGCCTACTAACATCAACGCCAGTTGGAATGCATGGCCAAACGGCGCTAGCGACATGACAGATAATGACGATAAGGCTTACCTGACCGCGCTGGACGGCCGACCCTACATGATGCCAGTCTCTCCCTGGTTCTACACCAATCTCCCATTATGGTCAAAAAATTGGCTTTGGCGCGGTGATGATCTCTGGCACGACCGCTGGGATCAAGTTCTCGACGTGCAGCCAGCTTTTGTTGAGATCCTGACTTGTGAGTGGACCCACAATATTTCGCCTTTCAAAGACAAAGTCTCATGGTTGGTTAAGGGAACGACTGGGGAGAATCCCACTATATTGGCCCAATGCCGCCGACTGATTCCGCCATTCCGGACGGCGCGGGCCCCTACGTTTTGAACAACCCGCATCATGCCTGGCTGAAAGACTTGCCTCACTATATTGCAGCCTACAAAAACACGAGTCGGCCGGATGAGAGTCATATAACATTCTGGTACCGCCTTAATCCTGCATCAGGAAGTGTGTGCGGGGCCGGAACGACATGCAACACTCCCACTCAGGGCCAGGTGGCTCTGAGTCCGCAGGAGTGTGACCTTGACGCGGTCTTCTTCACAGCATTTGTGCCGGACACCGGCGTAGCAACAGTCAACGTGACAATTGGCGGTTCGACGCAAACAGTTTCTGCAGGCACGCCTGGCATCTTCCATTCCAATGTGCCATTTGCAGATTTGACTGGAGATGTCACAGTGTCCGTTACCACTAGCGACGGCACTGAGATTGGTCCTGTTAATGGTGCACCCATCACCACAGACTGTCCTGGTGGAAACATCAACTGGAATGCATGGGTTGGAGGCTCTTAGGTGAAATGGGAAAGCAGGCGTGCAGGCACAGCTTTGTCCATGTAAGCTTCGATACTCTGTATATATACTTTATACTTATTACTTTGCGGGCATGCTCGACATGCAGAAATCATTTGTTTGAGGCCCTGAATGTACCTGTGCTAGTCACCGCCGTCATCAGTTTAGTCTTCGTTATAGTGAAGTAGAGGCCAGCCGTCGTATCCTCAGTCAGCTACTACTCGGCCAGGAAGGACGTTGCGAGGCTGCGAGGCGGCAAGGCGGCAAGGCTACGAGATACATGGCGCACGGCTCGCGGCGGGTTTACTTCGGCCGAGAGCTTGAACGTTTTGCGTCACGTCCAATCAACTGTGACTCGAACTTTTGTCTTGTTCTCTTTGCACTCTTGTTGAGCAGCGGCGGACCCTTCGAGCTACCACCCGCGAGCCCCTGGGGAGAAGAATGTCTGGATGGAACGGTGTGCGGGGTCTCATAGGAGCAAATCCCCTACGATGCGTTCGATCTGACCAGGCGCGACACCTGCAATCCGGCGCAACTCGAATTCTCAGTCGAAATCTTAGCCTCGACGCCGCAACGATAACGCTGTGCCGGCGGCATCAACATGAGCTCGGAATTAAAAAGGATCTGATAAGAAGCCATATACGCTCTCTAGAGCTGGGCAGGAGGCGGTTCTCCACGACCCGAGTGAGCAGACATGGACATCTGGATCCACCAAAGCCGGGGGAAGAGTAAGGGCCCAACCTCAGCCACGGGAATGATTGAAGACGCTGATTAGGTGATTTACAGACTCAAAGTTACGTTCATAGACAAGGAAGGGGACAAGCACACGTTTGAGGTCGCGGAAGGCGACAACCTACTCGATATTGCGCAGGCTAATGATCTGGAGATGGAAGGTGTGTTTCGAGAGCATTGCCCCAGTCCTTGCATGATGTTTGTGCTGACCGATTTTGCCAAAAGGTGCCTGTGGCGGTTCATGCGCCTGTTCCACCTGCCACGTAATAGTGGATTCCGAGGAAATGTACGATAAGATCCCAGAGGCCACCGACGATGAAAACGACATGTTAGACCTCGCTTTCGGCCTGACGGAAACATCGAGGTTAGGGTGTCAGGTGAAGATGTCCAAGGACTTAGACGGGTTAGTGGTGAGACTGCCACAGATGACGCGGAACATGCAGGCTTCGGATTTCGAGAAGCGCAGTTGATGATAGATTGAGGGTTGGACATTAGACATGTACTATCACAAATGGCTCTCCATTGCTCCTCGCTTGGGCGGACGTCATGCCCAGAGAGCCTTTCACATTCATAAGGCCTTCCAGTTGTTAGGCTGGCGCGCTTTGGGCATTCTTGTTCCCTGCGATCAAATCCAAGAATCCTTGCTTGCTCATCTCGTTGACCTTCTCTTCGCGGTTGGCCATTCCTATGGTTCCCTTTTTCCGCTCTTCTTTGGCAACCTGTTCAGCTTTGACCTGGGCCGCTCGCACGGCGTTGAAGAGCTTGACAACGCCACGCTGGGCAATTTTCCGCAGTCTCTTTTCCTCCTCAGCAACTTCGCCCGCTTGTCCCGAACTCAGACCCAAAACGTCTTTTACTCTTCCTCTTTCCAGCTCTTCCTTGCGGTCCGACCTCAGTTTAGCTTGTGCTTTTTTCTCCAGGCGCTCATTTGCAAGGGAGACGCTAGTTTCCACAGCTTCTTTACTTCTCGATAGCACAGGATCTTGGCGGGTTGATTGTGAGAGCTTGGCGGATAGGATTTTTGAGATTGAGGTAGAGAATGCTTCCGGGTCGTTTCTTTTGCTTATAGGCTTTCTTCTGCCTGCCTTGTTGAGGCCTCCCTCCATACTCTCCTCGTCCGAAGTGGCATCTTCCTGCGACTGTGTATCTTCGTCTTCATCTGCAGGTTCTTCGTCGGATCCGTCGTCTGGTACAGACGGCACAGCCTTCTTGCTTTCTGTCTTAGATATTTTCGCAGAGGCCCGCTCTTCGTCACTTTCATCCAAATTGACCGGGGCAAATACTTGATCTTCCTCGTCGCTTGAACTGTGGTATTCCAATTGTTTGCGGAAACGTTTCTTGGGTCGCTCGGTCTTTCCACGCATCCCGTCTTCGATTTTGCGCTTCTTTTGCGATAAAGGAGCCATTTTTATATTGGTTTGCCAGAAAGGAAAGGTCACCTAGGTACTGTGGTTGAGGAGAACTGAGGGCGCTGCTGCCGCTCAAGGTTCGCCAAGATTTGTTCTGGAATTTCTTCAAAATGTCCGGCAAAACTGCGGGACAAACTGGGCTCCCACTATGGCGTCCCCTTCTGCAGCTTTCCCCCACACTGACTTCGTGCCACTTTCACTCTCTTCGATCTCGCCGTCCTCCAATATTGGACCCGTGAATATCTCAAAAGCTCCTTTATAAACATCCTTCGAGCTTTGCAAGATGGTTCTCTCAGACCTTGGGCGGCGCATCAATGCCGCCGTGTCGAACCTCAACCGCGAACCCAACCTTGACGAGAAAGCCTTCGATGCTATGATCAAGGAGATATGTTCTGCCCTGCTGTCGGCCGATGTCAACGTGCGACTCGTGAAGAATCTACGAAAGTCGATACAGAGCGCTGTCAATTTCAAAGACCTTCCACCCCACACGACTTCCAACGGCAAGAAGCGTATGATACAACAAGCAGTCTTCGAGCACCTTGTCCAACTTGTCGATCCTCACGCCGAACCATACAAACCTAAGAAGGGCAGATCGAATGTGATAATGATGGTCGGTCTTCAAGGCGCAGGGAAGACGACAACGTGTACGAAGTTGGCGAGATATTATGCAGCCCGGGGTTTCAAGGCTTGCCTGGTTTGCGCAGACACCTTCAGAGCAGGCGCCTACGATCAGTTGAAGCAAAATGCGACAAAAGCAAAGATACCATATTATGGTTCACTCACCCAAACAGACCCTGCTGTGGTAGCCGCCGAAGGTGTAGGGAGATTTAAAAAGGAGAAGTTCGAGGTTATTATCGTTGACACTTCGGGAAGACACAAGCAGGAAGCAGATTTGTTCCAGGAAATGATCTTTGTTCAGAATGCTATCAAGCCGGATCAGACAATCATGGTGCTAGATGGCACGATTGGTCAAGCGGCCGAGGCACAGTCAGCAGCTTTTAAGGCTACGGCTGACTTTGGTGCTCTTATCATCACGAAAACAGACGGCGGTGCGGCAGGCGGGGGCGCCATCGCTGCTGCCGCTGCAACGCATACTCCTATCATCTTCCTTGGCACCGGCGAGCATCTGGCAGATCTGGAGAGATTCGACGCCAGATCCTTCATTTCCAAGCTGCTCGGATACGGAGATATGAGCGGCCTCATCGAACAAATTCAAACGCTCACGAGAGAGTCCGCGGGAATGAAGGAAACGCAAAAACATTTGTCCGAGGGTATCTTCACGATACGGGACATGAAAGAACAAATCACAAATATCATGAAGATGGGCCCCCTTTCCAAGATCGGCAGCATGATTCCCGGTATGAGCGGCTTGATGCAGGGCATGTCTGATGAAGACGGAACTGAAAAGCTAAAACGAATGGTGTATATATTTGACAGCATGACGGCCAAAGAGCTGGACTCTGACGGCAAGATCCTGATCTCACAGCCCTCTCGAATGGTGAGAATCGCATGCGGGTCAGGAACCAGTGTCAGAGAGGTCGAAGAACTTCTCACACAGCATAAAGTGATGGCCAGTGTCGCCAAGAACATGGGTCAACAGAAGAAGAATATGGCCAAGGCCAACAGTATGTTGCAAGGCGGCAACAGACAACAACAGCTCGCAGCCATGCAAAAAAGGATGCAAAGCATGGGTGGTGGCCGGGGCGGGATGCCAGGCGGTGACCTCGGAAAAATGATGCAGATGATGCAAAATATGGGTATGGGGGCAGGTGGTGGAGGCGGAGGAATGGATGCACTCATGCAGCAGATGGGAGGAATGTTTGGGGGTGGCCGGGGCAGAGGGAGATGAACGAATTCCTGATACATCGATCCTGCTCTAAACCACGCCACACAAAGAATAACACAACTTCTTATCGAAGCTCATCCTACCAAACTGACACATGAGGATGGCGCCGTCGACAGTTCCATGGGGCAAACTTCAAACGAAACTCTCAAAAAGACGATCCCTGTTGTTGAGTTTTCTAGGGGAAGGCCTGGAATTGGGGTCGGTCGATCGCTGAAAGGTGCTAAAGGCGAAGAGGACTAACATCTTTAAGAGCTCCGTCGCCACCGCAACGAAGCGAAATTGACGCGTACCACGGTGCTCGATAAAGGAGCCATCGGTCAGAAGAAGCCCTCAGCGGCGCAGAATTTCGGATAAGACTCTCCGACAGGGAAAGACGGAACGCGGTTATACGCCCTGACGTATCAACCAGTGGCTTTCAAGGACATGCATTGAAGACCGACATGTCATAGCAGTCAAGCCACAGAGACAAGGAATCGAGCACAGTGGATGATGGCGGGAATGACAGCAAAACCCGTGATGTCAGTTCTGCACCTTCAGGAGGAGAGCTCGCATATTGTCCAGAAGCCTCTATCCAGTGCAATGTTTCCACAATGGCCTTTGGAACGGAATGAAGCATGAAAGGAATGGCGAGCTACCGCAGTTGCACATTTGGATCAGTGTGTCAGGGATACCGAGATGTGGCGTTACAAAGCTGATACTATGGTCAATTCGAAGAGATTTAACTCCATCCGTGCCCTAAAGAACAAGGTATTGACATTTAAAGTTGATAAAGAAAGATTTCCGGTAGTAAAGACCAGCTCTGTCCCTTTGGAATGGATTTTATCCTGCATGGCCCCAGTCTGGCCCAAGTCCTCCCTTTCCACTCTCAGCCTCGCGACATATCCGATGGAGTCCGTCCATCCGCCAATCGGAAGCCCGGTTGATTTTCGCCGCAAAATCCCGTCGCGAATTTCTTTCGCCGCAAGACATTTGTCCATCGATCTACGCCTCATTTTCCTTGTAACCAGTTCCTCCCTCTCCAACAGCGATTCTCCTCCCTGACCGCGTCCACTCCTTATCACAGTCCCGCGACTTCTTTCACGATGGCGTTCCCAGGCGCATTCGGCGGCCCAGGGATGAGCGGCGGAGCAGCAGGAGGAAACGCAGGCTTGAGCGAGCAGGAGCAGCAGATGGTGAAGATGGTAAGAAGCACAAACATCCTGGAGCGTTTGAGATGAGGCATTGACACGGAGCACGTTTCCCTGGCGTCCTGGCGCCAACGGCTGCGAATTGCGCGGAAGAACTGATGGCTAATCGAACGTGGTATTCGTACAGATGCAAAAGGGCATGGAATCCTGTGTCGCAAAATCAGCCCTAGCAGGAGGAATGGGCTTTGTCCTCGGCGGCGCTTTTGGCTTGTTCATGTCGAGTGTAAGCGCGCATCTTCCTCTTCCCACCATTTCCCTTCCCCTGCATTCCACTTGAAGCCATGCATCGCTCATCACCCCGTTTGCAACGCAAAACTCAGCAACTGACCAGAGCCAAAATTAGATGGCCTACGACACGCCACTCTCCCCGCAGGGCCAACAAATCACCTCGCTCCCTGTCCGTGAACAACTCCGCCGGGGCCTCAAAGACATGGGCTCGAAATCATACTCGTCGGCTAAAAACTTTGCCCTGATCGGCGCATTGTACAGCGGAACCGAATGCTGCATAGAAGGATTCCGGGCAAAGAGCGATCTAATGAACAGCGTCTCTGCCGGATGCATTACGGGCGGAATATTGGCGCACAAAGCCGGACCCCAGGCTGCTGCGCTCGGTTGCGCTGGCTTCGCGGCATTCAGTGCTGCGATTGATGCATATATGCGCATGCCGGAGAGCGATTGATCGAAAGAACGCAAAAAGAATATGGGTCTGGTGTTTGAACTAAAGAGGCGCATGAATTAGAATCGGAGAAGGGGTTGGTTTCTTGCAATGCATGGCGTTCACAGGCATGGGGATTGATCATGAAATTGTACAGCATGTACAGTGCAGGGTTCTCGTGGCGATATCGCGTCTGGACCTGCGTACAGAGTCACAGGGACGAGCGTTTAGCGAAGCATTTGCATGGCGTAAAGGGGGGATTGGGTCCATGAGGAGGAATCTACTGCAGAGCCGCAGTGCCATCTTTCCTCTCTCTCGGCAGTGTCACGCGACTGCTAGGGACTGTTTTTCATAGAAACGGCTAGCTGGGATGGGCCTTTGGAGCGGGAGTCTGGTGCAATCGAAAGCGGGGCGTTGGATCCTCGCTGCAAGGCTGGCTCGGACGGGATGGAGAAAGGTGGCGATATGATAGATACTTTCTCCGCTTTGCAGAAGACTAACAGGATATATACTCCGTACAGTACTCGGGAATCTCAACAGGATACCTAAACGTTCAAATCCACGAAAGATTCAGCATGTAGGAAGCGCCTTTGCAGTGTCATCAGAGCAGTCTGTCCATCCGAGGAATGCAATGCAGTATGTCGCGCCGAAGCATGTCGCCATGCCTTTAAACTTCAGTGTTTCGTTGGAGCCTTCGATTAGCGCTTTCCATGTATCGGTTCCAAACCTGTCCCCTGTCACCAGCCATCGCAGTCACCGGATGTTCATGGGGCCATGTCATTGACGAAGTGAAACCGCCTTTCTTCACAGCGCATGGTCAAAAAATGTCCCCATTACCATCACCCACAGCGGGCCTCGCCATCCACTCTGCCACACCCACCTACCGACCCCAAGTTCAAGCACATATGAATTGAAGACGCAGAAATGGTATTCTGAATGCAAGCACCCCCCTGCTACCGGGAGATTTGGTGCAGTCTTGCCGTCCCTACCTTGTATACGGAAGACACTTTCAACCCAGTTACTGCGGCTGCGCTGCGTATACTGGAAGAGGTCTGTGATCCCCCCCCCCAAAAAACCCTCCAGGTAAGGGGTTTCTTTCTATCATCGAGGAGTGCGTTCGAGCCCGAACACTCCGAGGTGCGAAAGTTTTTGTGTTTGAAATCCATTCTTCTTTCTTTATTTTTTCCCTGGAAAGGTGGACATGGCGCTGTGTGCGGCCTTGGCTCACGTTGGTTGGTTTAGTTCTGTGTGCGGCAGCCATGCAGACCGGACTGCGAGCCTTGCCGCCAAGGATGGTGAGACTGTCGATGAGACTCGCCTCCATCTCTTTTCAAGCCGTCCATATCCTGGAGGCTTGTGCGAGTCAACTCCGTGTCGGATCGTGCTTGATTTGACGATGCAAACAACCTGCCTCAGTTCAAGGTTGAATGTCCGGGAGCAATATCGAATAAGCGGATAGGAGACCCAGCCACTCAAACATTGAGCTCATCAAACAGAAATTCGCCGGGTTCGAGCGTCCCAACCGGTGCTGCAAACGAGCTGCAAACGAATGGAGCCAGTCTGCAGCAGTTTTCCTCGGCTTAGAGGAAACGTTCGATTTTCTCAGCCCCTTCGAAGCTGCCGAAACGAGAGTCTTTCACTGCCGACAACAAACCAGCCGCTGCCCATGATACCGTATGACAGCGGTCATCATATTCTCGTCCGACCAGTCTAGGCGCACTGGCCGAGTAACTCGTACTCACCTTGATTGATTTTGTCTTTTTTTGTGTGTGTACTTCCCCAAGCAACCCCCGGCTTCTTCACAGGTACTCTCTCCGTGTTGTTGGAATAGTCCTTGAAATGTCAACAGTTTTTTGCGCGACATCTTCATGTTGAAGGATGTTTCAGGCTCTTACAGCCCTCTACAGAACAGCGTTACAAGCTGTCTATGTCAAGACATGAGATTGGAAGTTGGGAGGTGGGAGGCCTGATATGGCCGTGTGCACTTTTGGCCATCCAGACCCACCGTAGATCCTACGGCGCTACTGCGGAGCTTCGGCGCCTCTCGGAACTGAGGGCCTTTTCCAAGGCTTGACCTTAGTATATCTTCACAACATCATCTCCTACTTATTGTTGGATTCTGCAAATGGAGAGGGATGGCCAAAGTACGCAGATTTAATGTAAGTGTGGATATCAAATTCTTCTGGTGATATTGTTCCTCGAATATCCATGGCATTCAAGAGATGGTCCGGGGGGAACAACAGGATAGCTATCTTCCACCGAGCGCTGTGCTTCAGATGCCAATCGTATTAGCAGACATTGTGCTTCACTCAGTACGTTCACTTCCCTGCAGGACCCTGTCCTGTATGAATAACCCTTGCCCTACCGCACGTGGCATGAGACACTCCTATACTTTCTCTTTCTCAAACTCAGCCTTGTCAACCACACAGACGGCCTTTCCCTTCATCTTTCCCGAATGGGCCAGCTCGACCATCTTGGGCACTTCCTCCAACCCGTAGAAGATGTTCGTTTCGACCTTGATACCGAACTTTTCTGCGTCGTTTAGCATTTGCTGGCTGTACTCTTGTCCCGCGATCAATGTCCCTTTGATGCGAATGTCTCGGAAAATAAGTTCTTGGAACGCCACACAGACCCTACCGAGAAGTCAACCACTGAGCCACTGCCGGCTTCGAGAACAGCTATATACTCACCGGTCCGGCTGCGCAGTCTGCACCATGGTCCCGTGCATCCTCGTGATGGCACAGGCCATATCGGCTGAGGTCTCGTGCTCTGAGACGTTGATCGAAGCATGGACACCCATGCCATCTGTGAGCTTCTGCACCTGCTCCACGACTTTCTCTTTCCCCTCTCTCGCGTCGAAGATGTGCTTTGCGCCTGCCTTTTTGCACAGCTCAAGCCCTTCGTCTCTCGCATCAACTGCCACAACATTGATCCCTTTGGCCATAGCAAATTGTATACCCAAGTGGCCCAGCCCGCCCCCGGCACCCACAATACCCAGCCACCCTCCCTCCGGTACCTCAGCCACAATAATGGCGCGGTATATCGTACACCCCGCACAGGCGAGGGGTGCTGCATTCGCAAAGCTCACTTTGTCTGGAATATGACAACTCGTCCGACTGTCCACAACGTGGTACTCACTGAAAGCCCCATCCACGAAAACACCAATATGTCCCTCAAAATGCTGACAATACTGATGCCAATCATTCGGGCCTTGACAGTTGAAGCACTTTCCGCAGGGGTTCCGGGGGAGACCTGACATGACGCGATCGCCATTCTTGAAATTAGTGACTTGATCGCCGACTGCGACGACGATGCCTGTCCCTTCGTGCGACGCCGTGCAAGGGAGTTTGGTCGGAAATTTGCCGGCGGCAACCATACTGTCGGTGTGGCATAATGATGCAACCACTGTCTTGAGCAGGATTTCGTGTGGTTTGAGGCTGGTGGGAGTGGGCACTTTATGGATTTTATAAGGTTTGTTGAACTATCGTCGCCCACCGTCACCTGCAATCAGCTTGCACCCTCGAGGTTGGCGTATTGATGTCTTTGCACCCGCATCTCGAACATACCTCTACGATTTGGACAGCAAGCATCTCAGTAGGGACGCCCTCGATCGCCATTTTCTGAGATCAGTCCTCTGATAGTCAGCCTTTTGTTTAGTTCGCCGTCTGGTGAGGAAGAAAACGAGAAGCTAATGAAAAAGCACCACAAGTGAGCAGCCGAGGGTAAAGAGAAACGAGCGTTGGAGTCTGCTCGCGGGAACAGACTCAATGGCATGATGTCAGTGGAGAGAAGAGATGTAGAGAGAGGGGGTACATTACCTAAGCGCCAAGACTAGCGATGCACTAGTCTCAATGCGGCCGGCCTGACAAGGACGTATCAAGACGTATCTCTTACTATGTATTTCGTCTTCATTGACCACAACAACAAACCTTTGTCTTGCTAGCAATTGCAGAGAACAGCTTCGATTTCTTTGGATATGTATCTGTTTCGCGAAAAGATGGTTTCAGGAGTTCCTTTGCACGGCTCTCTCGCGTAGCTCTCATAAAATAGGTAAGACGACTGCTGAAGATCATCAAACATCTGGTGCGAAGTCGTCTCTCAGCACCGCCACGAATTTCCTTTATAGATTGCATGAGCTAAATATGTCTTCCATTGAGAGCCTGGACCGACATGCTCCCTTTGTCCGCTACAACCGATCTTTGATGCGTTCAGACCCCGATTGAACAATATTTTGTCGCTTGCATTGCGGCATTTCGCAGCATTTCCCTATCACTTACTGCCAAAGCATTTTTTCCTCACTTCCAGCCCCAAGAGTCACTACACTTTGTTCTACAGCTCTCGGTGGTTGTAAATTTTATTCTTATAATATGCCTGTGCAAGGCAAGCGCTTGGACGGTAGTCCGTTTGAGGTGCTTGGCCTCACTGATCGCATTGATAGCGCAGACGCTTACGAATTCCACGTCCCATTCCATTCTAGAGCTCTACAGGAGCGACAAGCTCCTCGGGACTTTGATCAGTTATGGCACGATGATCGGACCGTGAGAGGAGCTTTTGCTAAAGAGAGGGATGCAGAGGTTTTCATGTCGAGGTGGCTCCTCTTCGAAGACGACCAGAAAGATGATGAGGAGTGGGGACCCATACGACTGCTTGGGAAAGGTGGATACGGCATGGTCGGCTTATGGCAGAAACGGAACGACAAGAACCAAATCATTGACGAAGTCGTGTGCAAGGAAACCGAATACCTTGAAAACAAAACTCGCGTCGACGAAATCGAGGTCGATCCTAGGGCGTACCCCAGAATCCTGACAGAAGCCGCCATCCACTCCGACATCAATGCTAGGCACCCAGGTGTCTCTCCACATTTGCGGAAATACAAGTTCATAAGCCACGCGACACGCGGCCAGAAGGGCCGATATCGATTCTATCTGGAGTACTGTCCCTACGGGAATCTGCATCACCTGGGCCGCCTATATCGGTGCTGGAATACCTATCTGCCGGAGGTTTTCATCTGGCATGTCTTCTATTCCCTAGCCAAAGCGTGCGAAGCGCTTCGGAACACTCCTCCATTGAACAGCAAGGCCATCAAAGAAGAGTACTTTGAGAATTTGGTCCACGATGAGCTATTCTGCCTTCACCTGGATTGGAAACCAGAAAATATTCTCCTCGGTTATCCACACGAGGGCGAAGAGTATCCATCCGCTTTACTAAATGACTACGGCATATCTATGTACACGACAAGCAAAGAGGGTCAACGACAGTTGAATCCTGGCTTGATCTGGTGGCGTGGCACCCACACTCACAAGACACCGGTAGGCAAGCCTTTATTCCCCCCCCCCTTTTGCCCAAAAGTCATTTAACTGTTATTTTGGAATGTTCCGACGACGCTGACGGGAATCGGTGCAGGAACAAATCCACTTTGGCGTCAACTGGGAGATCCCGCCGGACGGCGGCTGGATCAGGTCCCAAGACGACCAAAATCGGGAACTCCCATGGAAAAGGGCCGCAGCCTTACGTGAAGTAGAAAACACACAGCCGAACGCTGACGTGTTGTTTGATCACTCAATGAATGTAAGTTGGTCTTGTCCCAGTCGCCGACCAAGTCTGACAATGCTTATTTGTGACTTATTTGTGCATACGCAACTACTCCCGCGGGCGTGGTAATGAGGAAGAGTGGAAAGAGAAGCCTGCTAACATATCCATCTATTTCTCTTGTCATAGATCTACGGCGTTGGACACACAATGTTCGACATTGTGACACTCGCCGCCAGCGCAAAACATCTCGGCCGAATCCGCGCCAAGTCCCTCAAACGATTCCAGCAGAACGGCAACCATCAGATCTCGAGCGTCTACACCAAGAAACCGGGCGTCTACAGCAGCCGTCTCCGCCATCTGATCCACCGCTGTTTGGACCCCGATCCGGCAAACCGCCCCACGCAGTTAGAGCTCATGGACGAGACGCGCCGGGGACTCCGCCTGGCGATCAAGCGCGCCAAAAGAGACAGAAAGTTTCCGGCAAAGGTGTGCTTTCGCGCGGACGAAATCAACGACATGCCCCTCGGGGACGCCGGCTTCCAGCCGTTGAGGAAAGAGTTGAAAAATCTGATTGAGAGCCAGTTTGTCGACCCCGACGCCCCGAAGCTGAAACTACCCGCGCAAAAGTATGGTGTGTTTCCCGACGCCTGGTTCAACCCAAGCTGGAAGGCGATGTATAGTCAACGGAATCCGCACGATCGGTGGTTCAACGGGCTTCACGGCAACGGAAATGCCTCGTCGTTGTCTTCACATGAGGCCAATGTCGATAGTGATAGTGACCACGACGATGACGACGATGGGGACACTGGTGACAATGGAAATGGCGGCAGAAGGGCTACCCAAGACGCGCGTAGCAATGCGCCTAGCCCTGAAGTCCCTAACTCTCAGAATCAGACCCCCCTATTACCGCCGCCGGAGCAGCAGCCGCAGCAGTCAACGAACCGGCCGCAGACACCACAGACGTCCATTTTACGCAGTGATGGACGCAATGTAGCCGGGCAATATGTCGCGCCGAAGTCCCCCCCTGGAAAGCGAGTCAGGTTCGCCCTCCGAAATGGAAATTTGGACGAGGCTAGAAGCACAGGGGAAGAAGACGGCAATGTGTGAGAGGATGTGGTTGGCAAAAACAAAAAAAAAAGAGAACGTCTGGTAGTGGTTTCCAGCGCACGCTCTCGGAGGATTGGGTGAAGTGTTGCGAAGACAAAGGCCGAGACAGGGGGCAAGGAGTAGATATCGGCTTTGGCAGTGGCGGTGGTGATGGCGATGGCGTTGACTTACCTTGAGATTTCAGACGATTTGGTTCGAGTTGTATCGCCTTTTTGAAAGAACATTGATGGATTCGGTCTAGAACTTACAGCCTTCGAAGGCGCGGTTGATACATTTTCAATGCAATTGGGACCTTTTTTAGGCTTCTGTACATAAACAAGGCAAGGTATCTTTTCATTCGGGCATCTCTGTGTGGCACTTATTACACGGTTGTCGTTCGACGTTCAGGAAGTCGTGAATATCAAGCCAACCAAATTTGGAATAAAGCACCATCGCTTATGCCCTACATTTACATTCAAAAAGAAATCCAAAAAAAAGAAAAAGCAAAAAAAGTAAAAAGCAAAGTACCCCTTGCTCGGGCCCAAGCCAACCCTGATTTTTGAGGAGGCACACCGTCGCTATGCATGTGTGCAAACAATTTCCGGTGATCCAACCCTTGTTCTACGCTATTCGCACATGAAGTGGGCGAATATTTTCGTCTGGTTTTCTTCTCTTTTCAAGCCCTCCTCGAACCATCCGAAGGGAACTCATCCGACACAATCAATCTTGTATTGACATTCATACTGCCCAGTTCATTCAGCAATAATTTAAATGCGTACGGCAGCGTCATCCTGACCACATTCGAGCCCGATTCGCCTGCTTTGCTGCATCGCTGACACCATCGTGCAAACGCCATGAAGCCACAAGATTCACAGACGTCTACTTGATGCTGATCGCTCGATAGCATCAGTCGCTCGCGCAGCAACTGTGACGCGCCGTATGCGATTAGGCAGTCACGTTCCATTTCTCCCAACCGCAGGCCTCCGTCTCTGGATCGCCCTTCTGTGGGCTGACGCGTCAAAATGGCTCGAGGACCACGAGACCGACTATGCATCTTGTCTTGAACCATGTGTTTGAGTTTCTGATAGTAGATGGGCCCAGTGAAGACGTAAGCAGGTAGGGGTTCACCTGTGATTCCAGAAGTGAGATAGTCCTTGCCATCATAACTGTATCCTGCTTCAATCAAAGCCCGGGACATGTCTTCGAGCTTGCTACCACCAAATGCAGTGCCGTACTCGAATTTGCCTTTCAGGATACCGGCTTTGCCAGAGACGAGCTCCAGCATTTTGCCCACGGTCATTCGAGAGGGGAAGCCGTGCGGGTTCATGATGATGTCTGGCGCGATACCTAGATCTGAGAATGGCATGTCGACCTGCTCTGCAATGATTCCCACAACACCTTTCTGCCCATGCCGGGAAGAAAACTTGTCGCCAACCTCTGGGACCCTCGTCTGCCGAGTCTGCACCTTGATGATTTGATTACCAGATTCCAGCTCAGTCACCATCACTTTGTCAATGTAACTGGGGTCTGGGAGACGATATTTCTGTGGTTGTGGGTCCATCCCAAAGGTGCGGGGGCTTTCAGATCCATTCTCTGATAAGCCCGAAGAGTTGGCGTTTCTCGGTACATACTTGTTGATGTAGATCTCGCCACTACTAACTTTCTCACCGACACGGGCGACGCCGTCTGCATCAAGGAGAGCATGGCCCTTGGCTATCGTGCCGTCACTATTCTTGGAGGGGGGGTAGACTGCATCGTGAGCATCATTCGCATAAGTCTTGATGGCGACAGGATACTTGCGAAGTACCTGGCAGCGACCGAAGCCACGGTCCACCGATGCTTTGTTGAGCACTAGCGCATCCTCGATATCGTAACCGCTATATGACATGACAGCGACTGTTGCGTTTTGGCCAGCGGGAAGTTTGTCGTACTTGACCAATTCGATGGTCCTCGTCTTTACAAGGGGTTTCTGAGGGTAGACCATGAGATAAAGCAGCGTGTCAATCCTTAAGAACTGGTTGTTCGCAATGAAGCCGATAGCTTGCTTGCCCATGGCGCATTGATAAGTGTTCCGCGGTGATTGATTGTGATGAGGGTATGGAATCAGTCCAGCGACTGCACCAAGAATCGTGAAAGGTTCAATTTCCAAATGAGTGGTCGCTGCGCTGATGTCGGATTCATACATGGCGATATTGCTATCATTTTCTTCATTGACATCCAAGTATTCAACAAGGCCGCGTGCCAGAAAGTCGTCAAAATCCATCGAGCCCTGTCTAAGAGACTTCAAGTACCGTTTGGTGACTTTCGATTTCTTATCCTCGACGATAATCAACGGCCGACATATCCGACCTTCGTCGGTTGCCACTTGGATTGTGTTGTGGTGATGGTTGATAAAGACTGATACAAACTCGGAGATTCGTCCTGATCTGCGCAGTCGTCGAAACGAGGATAGAAAATGGGAAGGCTGTCGCGTGGTGGCTGCAGGAGTGCCGTTCAACAGTACGAGATACGACCCGGGAGCGTACAGCTCCGACCCGCCAACAGTGACTATGTCTTCAGCGCCTAGCATAAAGATTAGCCGCTTGATCGGTGCCTCTTCGTCATCCGTTGTTATGTGTGTCATCAGAGCTAGATTTTTGACAAGCCCACAAGCCTCTCCTTCAGGCGTATCTGCCGGACAAAGCATGCCAAATGACGACGGCTGGAGCGCTCTAGGGCCACTGACTTTGCGGGTTTTCTCAAACTGACTCGATATTCGGGTCATCATGCCGAGGGAAGCGATAAAACTCAAGCGACTGAGCAGGTGCGTGACACCGGCTCTTTCCATTCGAAATCGCTTCAAGCTCCAGTTGCCTGTGGCGATAGCTCTGTTCATCCCTTGAGTAATTTGGCCTGATGAACCAACCATGATAGCAACAGGGTTTACCAAGGCGGTCTTATTCTGTTTCCTCAATTCTTTGTCAATTTTCCCCTTGACCTCGTAATTGAACTTTTTGAATAAATCCTCAAAAAGCAGAGCCAGTAACTGCCCGGCGAGCTCCAGCCGCTTGTTGCCAACGTAATCTCGGTCATCGACTAAAGCCGGATTCCGCTTTGCCATCAGAGCCCGACGTGCCATATGGGCTACATAGAGGGCCTTGGGTCTGAAGTTGAGATCTTCTATTGGAACATGAGCAATGAAAACCGTACTGATTAGCTCGACGGCTTCCTGGACATGATTTCTGCGAGTTTGTCCGAAAGGAGTCGACTTTATAGACATCTTGATGCGTGCTCCGATGTAGTCGAGGGCCTGTTGCTGCGTGTGGATTTGTAGCTTGATTGTCTCTTCAAAGTTGATTGCAAAGTCGTCTTGCAGGGTGCGGTCGGGGCCAGCAACGATAGCCATCATGTCCATGTCCGAAGAAACACCCATTGCTTTCAGCAAGACGCAAATGGGTATGTCCTCCTTGATGATATTGTGCTTCATGTATAAAAGGTCTTTCTTGAGCAGAATGTAGCTCTTTGACTTTCTCGCGTGGGTGGAGCTAGTAACCGAGGCAGTAATCAGGTCTTTCTTGGAATCCGCCTCGACAATAATACGGTTCTTGCTCAGCTGCTCCTGGACCAGAATAACCTTCTCAGTGCCGTTGACAATGAAATAGCCACCAGGGTCCAGGGGACATTCATCCATCGCGCACATCTCAGCTTCCGACCTGTTGGCAAGAACGCATTTGTTACTCCGCAACATCACTGGCAAGCGTCCTATTGGAATGCCCTTGGCGCGAAATGGGTCCTTCATTTTTGTATATCGGATATCAGCGAGAATTGGAGCTGCGTATGTAAGATCTCGCAGGCGACATTCATTCGGGGTGACAGTCGAACCCTTGAATACTTTTCGCTCGACCTCCGACATCTCTTCCTGTCTGCAGGGTTTCCCAATGTAAATGTTTTCATATTTGACGTAGAAGTTTGGATCAATATCACTTGTAATGATTGGCTCGGCGTCAATGATCTTTTTTAACTCGACATCGACGAAGTGATTGAACGAGTCCACGTGTTGCTTGACGAGCCCTTTGACCTTCAGGAACGCAGGCAACAGGTTCCATTTGTCGCGCGCAGTATCGATAGGATCGGTCAGAGATTTATTGTAGTAGAACGGCTCCAGCGCCGCATCGAAGCTGTCTGCGTGATGAGGTCGGCGGGATTGTCTCTCAGGCTTGGGATTTTCTTTCGGCGTGCGACCGGGTAATGGTTCCTTCGCAACACCCTCGTCCGTATGGGCGCCATCTCTAGGAGGCACCTTCCGCACTGCGGTGGTCTATCATTGTTACTCTCTGTCCTCACCAAGAAGGAATGGGCTCGATTTACCTTTTGGACGATCTTTCTCTTGGGCGGCATTTCTCGTCAAGGGGCAGCAAAAGACACAGGCGACGGGACCGAGAAGCACACCTTGCATGACTTAGTGCTGGATCGAGAGATTCTGCGTTTTATCAGAAGCAAGATTGCAAGGCTCAAACGAATCAAATGTCGAGGTGGGCAACTTTTTTTCGCCAACAATTCTGCCGCGATGTGGATGACTCAGCGAGGCCAGGGCGGTGAAGGGAGGGGTCAGGCACCAGGCTGAGTTCAGGATGAGTATGGAATGTATGCCGAGGGCTAGCCTTCACACACAATTTCCACACTGCCAGCACCAGCTGCTCGTCCATTGGATTACGCCAACCTCGTTACATGGCGCACAAACATTCAAGTAAGCGTCCGTCCTCGATTTTTCATGCATGGAATGGCCCTGTCATTCTGAAACACACAGTGACCCGAGATTCCGACGTTGGCCAGAGCGCGGATGCGAATGCCCAACAAGGAGAATGATTTGCCCTAGGGATGCCCAAGACGCCCTCGCTCTCGGGGTTCGAGCAGCGAGTGTGGGGTTTTTCTCTTCAATGGTCTCTTTTCATCCTTTTCATGCAGGGGATCATTTGTACACCTGGCCTGCGGGTCCGTGGCGTGCTCCCCGTTCATGGTCTTATCCCTCAATCAGATTCGTT